TATAAATATTGATTCATAGGTAAAACCTTGAAAGTAAATTCTTTTTACCGTAAATTTTAAAGGCGTCGTTTACAGCATACAGTACTTAAAATACAGCAAGTCTAAACTATAATATGATTATAGTTTAGACTTGGATTGACCCCCTGATCTCGGATATTATATAAAGATTAAACTCTAACCAGATTAATGTCGAGTTACAAATTAACCACAATTATAAATCAGAATTCAACGCATTGCACTGTATAATTATACAGTAGGTTTATATTTGCTTTAAACAGTGATTGAAGATTTGATAATTCTATGATTAGCCTCATTTTCAGCATTGAGTGTTATAAGGTAAATTTAATAAATTCAAATCTTACCACAAACAGTGTCTTTCTATATAATCTATCTTTATCTGTCTCTTTATTTATACGATCATAATAATAAAGAAGGTGCTACCCATGAATGAATAAGTAAACTGTACGTTTTTAACAATTGAATGTCAAGGCTCGGCGTTTATATATCTGGAATCTGAGGCAATATAATAATAAGCTGCATTTTCAAATTGTTCAGGAGAAGTTTTTTTTTAAGATCTCTTCTTTAACCTGATTTAAAGGTAGATAATAAAATATTTAGGTGCATTGCGCTGCTATTCTATTCATAAAAGCTTCGGAAATCTCTCTAATACTAAAAAGTAATATATTTTAGCAATTTTATATAAAAATCTCAACCCTGAAAAGAACGTAGCGTATCACAATACAGCTTCAAACTTTTCATGCATTCAGTTTCACTTCAAAAAATTAAAGAAAAGAGTACTGTGTAGATTTTTTGTATGCTCTGTTTCATAGCTAACTTTTAAATGAAGAAAAAAAGTTCTATTTTTTAAGGCAGCAAAATTAATTAGATTAATTAGAATAGTTATAAAATATATTCAAGGTGTATATTATTCTGCTTACTGAATGATATGCACTTTTTGCTTAAAAATTGCAATGTTTAAATCTATTGTAGAATATTTCGTACGATCATCATATAAACTGCAGAATACATTTTAAATACGGTCTACTAAAAAATTCCGCATTAAATTACGGTATAAAGTTAATAATTGGGAGCATTATCGGGAGCAAAATCCCTTTTTACTCTAGAATATTATACCGTAATTTTGCAGTAATATTTGCTTAGTTAAAGTGATTCATTGATTTTACGGCAATTTATGCAGAAAAAATTACGATTTATCAGATTTTTTGCATCAGGTAAAAATAAATTTCACTGTAAAAAATACCACCACCCTGAGTGCCGGTTGTTTTTACCGTATTTCGATTAGAAATTTTTGAAAAGGTAGTTTGAGGGTTAAAATTGTTTTTCAATACCCAAAAATCCTTTTTAAGACTTGTTGTGATGGCAACAATATGTTTTTAAGAAAATATATATTTTGTTTTATGTTGTTATGTTATGTCTCGTAAAAAACGTATTTGATTGTTAACAATGTGTTCATTCCTGCTTACAAATTCTTTTTACGTTAATTCGGTTGAATGATTCAGTGATATCGGGGTAATTATTACTGTAAAAATTACGGTACATCAAATTTTTTTTCCGTAACATGTTCTGGATAAAAGGAATTTTATGTTAAAAATTACCAGCACTTTGAATCCGGTACCTTTGACCGTAATTTGATCCGGATTTAACCTAAGAAAAGATAGATTTTTTTTAAATGTTGTTTGTTGTCCTTTTTCAAACAAAATACAGTTCTTTTTTGTCTCACATTTGATTGTTAGGATAGAGTTGATTCTTTCGGCTTACGAATTCCGTTCAAGCTAATTCGATAGACTGATTCAGTGATGTTATGGTACTCATTACTGTAAAAATCACGATACTACAACAGATTTTTTGTTCTATAACATATTCCGGTAAAACTTAATTTTACGGTAAAAAATACTGACACCCTGAGTTGTGGTTATTTTACTGTAATTTGATCCGGAATTTTTTACAGTGTATTTAAAGGAAAAATTGTTTTCAAATAAACAAAAATGCATCTTAAGATATAGTGTGATCATAGAAATATGTTTTTAAGAAAAGATATATTTTGTTTTATGTTGCTTGTTGTCGCTTTTCATGCAAAATACTGATTTTTTTTTCTCTCGTATAAAACGCATTTGATTTTTGAGATTGTGTTTATTCTTTCTGCTTTCAAATTCCTTTCACGCTAATTCGTTACTTTCACACCTTCTTGTTTCTACGAGTTGAAGGTATTTTTGTATTCATGCCAAATCTTTCATGAAATGATATTGATCTCGAAATAGGAAACAGTGGCAACCGATTTTGAATCTGATGTACACTTTAATGGCTTGCAACTTTCTGAATATCTGTTTATGTAAACTAAATGACTGTTTCTTTACTTTCATAGAATGTAAGACAAAACATCAAACTGGAATTCAAAGTAGGAACAGTTTGTAGGAGGAAAAATTCTAAGCACGATTTTCGGTTTTTGGATTTAAATGTTATTTTAACAAATGTGGTGAAAAGTTCTATTTTGTAGAAAATTGTAAAAATGATTGCAACAACCTCAATAGTGGTTTAACACTTAAAAATTTTTAAATTATCAAATTTTTTTTTTTGAGAAAAATTATCAATTTTCCTATTTTTTAAACTGAAACCTATAGATATAAATAATTTGCAATTTTGCAGGTTGCAATAATTTGCAATTTGTTTTCTATCCTGTTAAATTTAATTATGAATCTTATGTTTAAAAAATATAGCTGAACAGAAATATATATAAAGTAGATTTTGAAACGATGCAGAGTTTCCACAATCTTCACAAAAATAAGACATTTTTAATTTATTCGAAAAACTTCATATTTAATGGAAAGCAACAAGCGTTTCTTTGCAAAACTAGTTGGTTCAAATTAAAAGCAGTTCGTTTATTTAAGTGTCAACTGAATCAAATTAAAAGTGATTGAAAATCATTAAAAATAAAATTAAGACGAAAATCACCAATTAAAAAATAGCAATACATCCTATCATCGGATACAAATTATTTTTTGAAGAAGTTCAGTTCTAAATAAAGTTCAGTTCCCTACATATTATATTTTTCATCCATCTTTTTATCCATCATTTTATTAATTATTTTATTTATCACTTATCTATCATTTTGTATTTTTAATATTTATTTAATTATTTATTTTATTATTTATTTTTATTATTCATTTTGCTATTTATTTTTAGTATTTACTTAATTACTTATTTAATTATTTATTTTTATTATTTATTTAATTATATATTTTTATTAATTATTTTTTTAATAATTTTTATCATATCTATTACTTTATTTATCACTTATATATAAATTTTTTTTTTATTATTCATTTAATGATTTATTTTTAATTATTTATTTATTTATTTTTATTATTTAGTTTTAATTATTTATTTATTTATTTTTATAATTTTTTTATCTTATTTTTATTTATTGATATTTTTTATCTCTTATTTTTTATCTTATTATATCCGAGTTTCTATATTAATCCTCCAGTTAATTATATTGAAAAAAATAGCTGTCATTAGGCTGGTTCCTTCATTGAGCCATTTCCATTATTTCATAGTTATTGAGAGAGCAGAACTACCAATAATTAACTCCGTAGCCTTGTAATTTTGAACCCAATCCAGAAGACAAGGAACTCCGGGATCAAGTATTGGGAGAAAGTTGCCTTTATGGAGGGCTTTTTGATGAAACTTACGCGCATTTACATTACATGGAGAGCAAAATCACGAAAATCTCCCTTGGTTAGCCTGACTTCAAGGGGACCTTAATCCATGATCCGTCTGCCTTTGAGGATCTTTTTGTCAGCACTTGGGTCGGAGCGATCCGGTTGCGGCATTCGCATCGACCAGCCATGGCTGGAATTCAAACCCAGGTCAGAGTCGACGAGCGCTCTATCTCCTGAGCTTCTACGGCCCGCAGCATCTTTATGAATAAAATTATGGGTAGACTAAAAGGCTTATTGCACCCAAAAATACCGCACAGCATCGTATTTTGAACGAAGTCACCTAGAACTTTCTCCACAGAAAGCAAAAATTTGTAAAATTAGCATAATTATCTAACAAAATCAAGACATATTTGATCAAGATAAGATTGTTCGCCCATTTTAATTTAATATTGCTTTAATCAATAATTATATTTGAAATGTTTTGATTAATATATGGTTAAAATTGAAGTGATTCCCGACAGAAGTAGAAGTTCTATTCTATAAATAACTTAAAAATTCCTTCTAATAAATATATAAAACCTAGTTAAGTCAATAACCCTACTATTATTAAAATTTAGATATGCTTAGAACCTCGTGTAATAAAGTGTAACATTTTAGGATATTTTATTTATAAAGAACTAGCAAAATATTATTTATAAAGAACTACTTTATTATTCATGTATGAAGTATATTACTTCTTAAGAAATTTATTTAAACGTAGGTTTCCTTCATTTTGTTAAAATTATTTTATATCGAATACGTTATAATTTTTTGATAATATAATTAGTTAAAATTTTCAGCCATTTGAAATAAAAAGATACAAAACTAAAATACCGTAAAAAAATACCCCAATCAACTTTTTAAGTTTAATAGTTACTTCAGTTTATTACCTAATAATTGCTAATTAATTGTTATTTTTATTAATTTAAAAGCTTATCATTTAAACAATTTTAGTTTTTGTTGAAATCTACATGAATACGCCGAATTTGATTCTAAATAATCACAGAGAATAATAATCAGTCTAGATCATTCAATAACTTTTATTCTGCATTTTGGTAACCCTTAAAATATTATTAAAAACTACAAACATTTCTTTGATAATTTTAATTTAGTTTCATAAGTAAGCCAGTTTTAAGTGTCACATTGGTGAGACTACAGCCTTTTTTAATAAAATTATGATCCAGCATTCTAATTTCATTATCCACACCTTAAAGAATTTCTGTTTTGATTTTTAGGGATTTTGTTACATAATATGAAAAAAAACATATATAATCGACTTACCAGAAAAGATTCCTTGTTAGTGAATGTAATCGGATCAGCAGCTTCTACTTCTTGGCACAAGTACTGTACATTCCCTTGCTGCTGTATTAATTTGTTGCCTGTTCTTCCAAGCTCAATCAATTCCAATCGCAGGCTATCTGCTACAAATTCCACCTGATGTAACAGTAAATAAATAAATATATAATCAAGAAAAATATATAAAAAATAGTCAATCCCCCTTTTCTTATTTCTAGGAGAATTTACTGGAATAATAAAATGGACAATATAATTCAATTTAGTTCAAGAAAGCTCAAAAATGCAATATCAAATAAAAATCAAATGACATAAAGTAATATCATACTTTATTAAAAAGTCTCTAGATATAATAATAAATAACTAAATGCTTAATATGAAAAAAAATAAAGAATATAGTCGCAGTCTTTTTTCTTCGATTTTTCAATGTGAATATTTAAGAATATTAAATAAAGAAATAATTATTTAACTTAAGCAGGCACAAAAAGGTAGCATCAAATCCAAAACAAAACAAAGCAAAAACAGTAATTTTCAAGTTCAATGAAATACTTCTGAAGTTACTCTGATACAATAATAAATAAATGTTTAATCGGTAAAAAATAGCATCCTGTATACTTTTTGGCAATTCTTGGTGAATATTTAAGAATATTTAACAAAGAAATATGATTTTTTTAAACTCAAGCACAAAAAAGTAGCATCAAATCAAAAGCAATAGTTCTCAAGTTGAATTAAATATTTATGAAGTAAGTCACTCTTATCTAGTTATAAATAAATGTTTAATTGGTAAAATATAGAATCCTGTTAACGTTTTGGTGTTTCTTGTTGAATATTTAAGAATAATAAACGGAGAAATTTATACTGAAATAACATAAAAAAATGGATTTCAAATAATGCCCTATTTTTCGAGATTTAATGAATTAAAACACTTAATTGCAGATTCCAATCGATATTATAATAAATGAAGAATTATTTAATTGTGAAATATTAGTGTAAAAAAATTAGGTAATTTTTTGATAATTGTAAATGGATATAATTTTTTTACGCAAAATTATATTTTTTCAAACTTTAAACAGTCACAAAAAGCAAATTGATTAAAACTGGTTTTAATAATATAAGTTTTTTCATAATATCAGCAAAAAAGTTCTCCTTTTAAAAGAATAAGAAAGGCGTAAAATTATTAATTCTATTTTAGATTATTAAGCAGGAAACTGTATATGTCTAAGTTGTGTAGGCAGCAATAAACTAAATAAATCCGGCCTGAAATAATTTATGTATATATATATTAAACAAATATTGCGTTTGAATTAAATAATTTTAATCTACTTTATCTTAGTTATAATTTTAAGTGATTAGTTTTAAAGATAAATTTATTTTAAAATAAACAACATCTATCATCTTTGCAACCAAGTATTCTATTTTAATTTAGAAAATTTTATCGGTTAAATTTATTATTGAGTCTATTGTTTAATTCGAATTTTTTTATTTATATAATAAAACCAATTCGTAATACATTTTTAGAGTATAAAGGAAAAAATATATTAGTTTTGAGGAATTTTAAATTTTTTTTCGGAAACCTTTTATTATTAGGAAAAAATGGAATAATTACAATTAAGTAGTTCATAATTCATAAATACATATCCTTCCCCATTTATCATTTTTAATAATAAAATACTAATTTCTCTTTAAGTGGAAGGAAGAGGATTGGCTAAATTAAAAAAAAATTGTTTTTCTTAATAAAGAATGGATGAAAAATTGACTCAAGACCAGAATCAATTCAGCTATTTAAACAATAATCTAAGAAAGAAGGGCTCAGTTGAGAGATATTTTCCTTATGGCTGTTAAAAGCAAATGGAGAAAGGCTTGAAGATATTTATTATTAATTTAGTTGAAGAGACACAGTAAAATGAAGTGATAAATGAGGGGAAATAAAATTTTATTGAGTGTTTAAAGAATGCGAGTAATGTTTATAAAAACAAAATGGCTGCTTAATATTATTTGACAGCTCCTGATTTTTTCATTTAAGTTATTTTAAAATAATGCATTAAATTTTATTTCTTATTTTCGTCTCTTCTTTAAGACTTTAAAAGTTTATTCTAAGTTAAGCAGGTTGTTATTGTCATATTTTTTGGCTCTCCAAAAAATATTTTTTATTTTACTAGGAAGCTCTGCTCACCAATCTCCGTGGTTCCTTCTCATTTATCATTTTTTAGAAGTTTATATTTTCCATCATGAATGCTATGCTTATAAAATTTATAACTATTATAATTTTAATTAACAATTTTTTTTAAATATATAAATCGTAAGGAAATGATTGACTACCTGGATTTGTAAAATAATCAAGAGTACTTAAAATATTAATCTTTGGAACATAGATTGTGTGTCCAAATCACGTCCGGGTCACCATTTATAGGGAAATTTAATCTTAGACTATGTCAACCTTCATCTTTCAAAAGGTACCTCAAGATAGAATCGAGTTAACATGTCTTATATACTAGTGATTTGATATTTAATTCTTGTAGTGGTAGTTACGCCACATTTCAATTAAAATATAAATAAATGAAAAGTAATTTAACTCGTTAGCGAGGTTTATATAATTATAGCAGTTCAAATAACAAATGTATTTTACCTCTATTTTGAATTAGTTATTTTTTTAAATTTTAAAGCATTTAATGTAAAGGTTAAGATTTATATCTGGCAGCTCTACTCTCTCTCTTTCTCTCATTTGTTCCGACATCAAATCAACTGTAAGCTGATAAGATTTTGAGTGAGAAATAAATTTTCTATAACAAAGTAAACAAAAACCCGTTTGTAAGATAATGGTGCTAAAAAATGGCTTCTTACAAAATGTAAAAGCATTCCAATCTTGTTAATCACACCATATCTCGTTTTTGATGATTTTATAACTTCTTTTGCACTCTCCTACTTCAATAATGTTTGATCTCAGTTTACAACTATTATTGAGGCAAGAATTTGAAACAGTTTTTGAATTTTTCTTATTTTAACAAGTATTTGTATTTTTTAATACTAACAGTTTCTTTTCAAAGGTTTAAAATTATTTAATATCTATTAAATATGTTATGTATAATAAATATACAATACACATAATAAATATATAATACATATAATAAATATATAATACCCATGTAATAAATATATACAATATGTAATAAATGTATATTATATAATAAAGGTGGTCATTATATATCCTTACAATATTAGATAGCGATTTAACGCACTGGTATTTCGTAACATTGATTTTCCTCCTATTGTTAATTTTTTGTTTTAATTAGTTTTATTTTAGTTTTATGATTTTCAGAGGATACCAAATCAGTAAAAAATGCTTTGCATGAAACCGTTTTTACGATAAAGATTGTAAAAACATTTTGTGTTCGTTGTTTAGAAATACGTTATGGCAACAACAAATGCACCATAAACCATTCCTAAATAGCATGTTTCGTTACCATATTTTTCATTTTTACAAGCCTACCTTCTTAACGCATCCCACTAAGTTGGAATGTTGCCGAGCACCTTGATGTCCGGCTGCTTGATCAAGCCCTCCCACGTAGAGCACGCTACTGGACAGAAGATTAAAGGTTCCAGCTGTCGACCCTCTTTCGGTGTACACGCCGTCCACGGTGATGGAAAACTGCACGAAAAGTTTGAAGAAACTTTTATTTAGTATTCGTAGCAGCACTATTTGTAACACTTAAATGAAACAATTCATCAAATAAATAAAGCTTGGTATATGTCTTTATGTGAGTGATTGTATGCAATGAGGAAAAATTTATCAGTTTAAGAAGAAATTAAAACTAAACTTGCACTGATCGTAGTTCGTTTTGTTTATGTTAAATTACAAAGCAGAGTGGCAAAAGAGAATTAAAAGTGATAATTGCTGTAAAAATAAGTTTCAAACTGACTTTTTTTTAATAGAAAAGTAATAATAGTTCCAAAATTAATCAAATTATAGATCTGGTTTTTTTTGTGTGCCACACGAAGAAAAGAGGAGAACAATAAAAATATTAGAAATCAAGATTTTTTCTTTTTTTTTTTCGCTCTCTGGAACAATTTCCTCTTTTCGACTTGAAGCCTTTTCAATTTTTAGCAAATTTACAAAATCATTTTTTTGACAAATAAATGTACTGTTTTTTTTTTTTTTTTTTTTTTTTTTTTTTTTTTTTTTTTTTTTTTTTTGTTTTGTTTTTGTTATATTATGAAGAAACTGTAAATTAAAGTGCAGATTTTCTTGGCCATAGATGGCGCCACTGGAAAAGAAGAACAATAGCACCCCTCTGCCTAAAACAGGCATACAAAAACAATAACAACAATAAGCAGATTTACGTGAATGAATTATAGTCATGATTTTTTAAAAAAAGTAATGTGTATGTAAGTTTATAAAGTTCTTACAATTCTTAATATATAATTTTTTAAATGAACTCTGGTAAGCAAGAATATTTTAATCACTTAGCAATCAAACATGTTGGTGGTTACCAAATTAACAGTTTTTTTAAAGCCTTAGAATTTTATGACATAATTTAATTTCTACAATTCAGTTTCTCCTTTCAAGGTAAGCCTAAATTTTCATGAGTTTTAGGCTTTCTTTTTAGGTACCTCTTAAAATTATAAATGGAAGAAGTAACTTAAGTATGGATAACTCGAGTTTGATTAAATGTTAAGAAATGCTGACCACAAAAAAAGAATTTTTTCAACTCCAATTTTTTTAAAAAAAAGACTAATTTTTAAGAAATTACTAATTTAAAAAAAGTGCAAGTAATTAAGATTGCAACTTATTTTGATTACTATGGCAATCCTTATTATAAGTAATAAATAACCTCAATTTTGTATTTGTTAAATTATTCTATAACTAATAATTTAGTCAATAGATCTTAATAAATTTATTATCTTAGTAAACTTATATACACTGTAAAAACTGTTATGTAATATCTATCTGAACTTGGTGCTGAACACTCTATAAAAATGTTTGTTATTTTAAGTTAATACCAAATCGAGCGTTAATACACATTCTCAGGGACTAATTAAATGCAAACGCGGAATATTGAGAAAGAGATCAATTCATTTGCTCTATTCATAAATTATTTTCGCCAATTTTAGCGTCAGATGATCGAATTGGAAACAGCTAGACGATCTATATATTTTATTTACAATCCAAACTCAAAAAGACGAAAGTTTGATTTCGCATTGCACACGGCAGAACAATGAATATTCACTTCGGTTTTGTTAAATCTAGTTCGAATTCTATTTACTATCCTCTCTGTGCTGTGTGTATTGTAACAAACTAATTTTATTTTAAGAAACAGCGTATTGTTGCAACCTAAATTAATGATTTTATATTGTATCGTAAAATAACTTTTTCTGACTCTTATGTGTATCTTACCTTACATTAGTTATGAATTTTAATTTTAGTTCTAAAAAACAAAAATGGCGGCAGCTATTTTACACCTTAGTGTAAAAGAACCTTTTAGGTATAGTGAAACATCGAATTCCAAAGGTTATTTGATGTTTCTCAACACCAAGTATTTTCCTCCATTTTTGTTTAGATACAGTGTAGTTACTGTAGGGGAGAGTGGGGTCAATTGTAAAATTTTTTACTTAACTATTTTTAACTAACAAAAAATCCAATATATTATTAGTATTAATTGACAGACGAGTAAAGTAGACTATCCTCTACGAGAAAAAAAACCCTATTTTAAATGTTATTATATTAGTTATTAAAAATTTTTGACAGTCGTGCACTTGTTACAGTTGTCCCCCCTTACGGGATCAATTGTAACAGTTCATAAATTCAACTAAAACATAGTTAATTATACATATTATCATAGTTGTGATATATTTTTTTATTGATCAAAATAGTAGTGATATTTTAGGAGTAAAAATAATAATGAGCAGAGACCTCAAGGGTTAAACTTTTAACTTTAAGGGGTTAAACATTTTAATTTATGCTGTGAAAGGTGACAAATAAAATAATGCACATGCAACGTAATTTAAATGATATAGGAAACTATTGGTGGTTCTTAAAGAGTTAAATAATGGTTTGTAAACATAAGATTATTTATTTTCAGCTGTTACAATTGTCCCTTTACTTAGTGTTATAATCGTCCCCAAGACGCCATTTCAGCTTCATTTGTTAAAAACAATGCTAGTTAATTAACAAAACTAATCTTTCTTTTTACTGAAATGTTAATTAAGGTGTCCACTTGCATATTCGGTTAATAATTTTTATTTGTTTAAACAAAGTTACTTTGTTGTATAGATGTAACTCTTTCAAAAGTGCATAGTAATGATTGCCAGCAGGGGTGTACATGTAGATTTATTAAATACACCTTGTGCGTCACCTAGGAACCAGATGTAGAACCCGACACTCGAAAGTTTTGCTCTGTTACAATCGTACCCTGTTACAATTGACCCCACTCTCCCCTAATATTAACACCGCAATAAAGCTATATATGATCAAATTTGTTTAATATCTGTATATATTTCATTGAATTGATCAAAAAGTTGGTGAACCAAAGTATAATCTAATTTCTGCTAAAATAGATCATCAATTAATGTTCATGCGTTTAATGATCAATTGGTTTTCATGCGTCTTTTTATATTAAATTAAAATTTAATTTAGCTTTTTTAAAAAATTGTTTTTTTTTGAAATTATATTATAATGATTTATTAAGCATGTTAAGATATAATAATTTTAAAATTCCTTAAGTATGCATGGTAGTTATGGCTATTGATTAAAACAAAAGCTTTTTCTTTCAAACAAAATACAAAGATAGCGTGACAAATCGCTAAATAAGTGATAAAAACTCAAATTAGATTTTTAAACATCTTTAGTCAAATATGTTCTATATTTTATTCTATCATACCGAGTTTTTAACGAGCAAAAATAAAAAAGAACTTCAAAATATTTATTTTAAAAATGTTAGCTTAAAGCTTAGGAAAACAGCTACTGGAACTAACGCTTGAGAGTCATTGCATGTTCAAAATTAATAATTGTAATTTAATTATTTTAGCATTATTGAATTAATCACGCACAACTATCATTATGTTTGACAAAAAAACAATAAAAATATAAAAACAAGCTAATAAACATAGAAACATAACAACATTAAAGATGATTATTATATGTAATTTTTTAACGAATTTTTCTTGATTTTCGAAGAATGAGTTAGAATTCATAAAAATAAATGGTATTATTACTCGCAGCTTCTACTGCGAGTAATATTACTCTATTATTTATATAAATTAAAGTATTTTTTCCTAAATATATATTTCAAGTGGGAAAAATAAACAAAGATAATTAAAAAACAATTTACCTTTTGCTTACAAAACCTATTAAATGACAAACATGAAGTTCATAAAAAAGCGGAATAATTTGATGCATTATATTAGATCAAATTTAGCAAATAATAGATAAAATGTTTTATTTCATTTTCAGAGCAAACGTTTAGGTATTATCGTCTCATTATAAAAAAATAACAATAAATACATCACAATTGCGTGCTTTATTCTGAGCTATAGAGTAGATTTACAATTAGATACATTGTTATTAGTTATTATAATTATTATTTCTGATAGTACAGAAAACAAATTTTCTTTCGTGAATCTAATAAAAAAATATTTTCCGTAGTTTAATTCTCCATATTTTTGAAATTTTTATCGAAATTGTTAATTTGAAAACAAAAATTTTTTTTTCATAGAAGTCAAAATAATACTAAAAATGATAAAAATTTTCAGATTAATTGCAAAAATACAGTTTGTTTCTTACTGAAATAAAAAATACGATTAATAATATAAATAAAAAAGAATATAATAAAAAGCATATGAAAACTAGTGCTATCCAACAAGTTTTTCTAAATAGCAAAATTGTTACTGAATGTGAGAATCATTTGTAAAGAGTATAAAACTGGCGTAAAACGCATGATTACTTATACAAACTTCTTAGGATGCCATATGCCGCAAAAATGCAAATACTTGTTGCGGCAAGAGCGAACTTTCCTTCATCAGGTAGTTAGAAATAACAGTGATAGAAAAATTGGATGGTAGAAGTCGAAGTACGAATGAAAGAAAATCAACCAACGTAGAGGAAAAAATAATGAGAGCAAAGAAGCTAAAAGAAAACGAGAGAAAAAAAGAGAAAGTGGGAACTTCATATTTGTCCCCATTTACAATATTCGTCTTTCTTTTTTTTAAATGGCTAAATTTTCCTGAAAAAAATTAAGTTTAGAGTTTTTTTTTTAAATGATAATTATTCGTCTGAACATGAAATTTTTTCGAAATTTATATTGTTGAATTTCTTATTAATGAGAAAGATTTCGTGTCAACTTTTGCAAACTTTAAATTCAGTTTTCTCAAAATAACGTTTTCATATCCGTCGACAACATATAATATTCAACAGAATTTTTCAGAAATTGGACACCTGTATATTGCTAGAGGACAGTCTAGGAGCGTTCTGTGGACGATGCGTAATTCTAAAAGCATTATCCCTTCGATCTTTGATTTTCTTCAGATTGAAGACCAAAGGGGAAGTTTGGTATCTGTTCATTTTTCACAAAAATAACGATTGAATCGCCATCTGTTGCAGTCTGAGGATTACTAAGTTTTGACAACTCAATAGCGTGGAAAACGGATCCCCTC